TCTACAAAGCAGGTGGTTGTCCTGGGATTAGTCGGCTCGCATAGCAAGTTGGATATCAAGGTTAATAAAAAAAAATTAAATCATATTTATATAAAAATTTGAAGCCAAATAAAAAAAATAATTTTTTAATTATTATGATATATGATACAAAAGTTCAAGCATAGTTCATTTTATTTTTTAGAGTAAATTACAAGTTTGAACCTTTTGGTTTGTCATTTGCAATTTCAAAATTACAAAATAGTCATCGTAGGTTTGTAAAAACATTCAGATTTAATCTTTATCTAACGGTTGTTAAAAAAACTCGTTAATTGTGGAGCATTTTTCTTCCTTTTATAACTTTTTGTTTTTTACCCGATCAAAATCGACTTTATTATTTTGGTCCCTGTGTTTTTTTGGGTGAAAAATGAAAAAGATCAACAAAAAGACGAAAACGTCCATCATTTTCAACGGCCTTTAGAGAAGGACTAAATACGAACATTTTTGTAAGCCAAAATAGTTATCTTGTAATTTAAAAATCACCACTCTCACTTACCTAAACGATTAATATTCTCGGCCATGAAAATGGATTTACCGTAAACGCTTATCGCGTAAAAGTTATCTCCCTTACTTACCAGGTAAGATTTTTTCAGTTTTTATTATGTTTATCTGGTAAGACAATTGAACTGGTAAGCAATTACCGAGATAAATGTTCAGTAAATGATTTCTCATTCTTTTAAAAACAATAAAATAAAAATTAAATTAATATAAAATAAAATAAATAATTTCCAAAATCGTATATATATTTGATTTTTTTATTTTTTAAAAAATAATTCATTTTAAGACGAAATAAATATTGACCAAAAATACAAAGCTATAGATCTAAAGGTGGCGTTAATCATTGAAGTAGCCCATATAAATAATGTTTGACCCAATAATTAATCCATTAAAATGATTAATTAATTATTATTTAAATATTTGTCAGAATGGCACGAATTACTATGCATTTATCTAATAAAATATTCACATTTATTAAAAAAATATTTTTTTATTAAAAAATAAAACCTCCTGTTTTGGTTTGTAAGACAAAACGTAATATTCGTTTATTGGTAATTATTATAAAAATAAATTACAAATAGTTGTTATGATATTAAAAATTACTTAAATTGATATCTTTTATTAAATATTGTTAAAAATTGTCCATATTTTTTTATATATTAAATTTAATATATAATCTTTTATTTATTTAAGTTTTAACTTTTTAGTATTTATTTATTTAGTTTGAATTCGTTTAGTCATGTTCGTTTAGGCCTCTTCGTTTATGTTTGTTTAGTTCGTTCGTTTATGTTAACGAACGAACACGAACACACCTAATTCCTAAACGAACACGAACAAAATGATTTTCGTTCGTTTACCATTCATGTTCGTTTGTTTGTTCGGTTAAGTTAAACGAACAAACATGAACAAAAATGAACAAACCTCTATTCATCTCTTAGTCATTTATATCTATAAATTTTCAAAATATCACTATCTTCACAAATGACACCTCCGTGACTTACGGATGAGCTAAAAGACAGTTTTTCACTTTTCACACAGGTTCATAAATGGCACCTCTGCAAATTGGTGAAAAGTGAGTTCTTTTATCTTTTAGCTCATCCATAAATCATGAAGGTGTTACTTACGAAAGTAATGATATTTTTAAAAATTCTAATTAAAAAAATGAATAAGAGATGAATTTGATCGGTTAAAATGATTATTTTTATTAATTTTTAAAAATAAATAAATAAAGAAAGTATGAATGAGTGGAGAGAGAGATGATGATAGTCCTTGAAATGGTTAAAAAGTTGTCGGAGGATGTATGTATATGTATATTATTTTATAAAGCAAATTTAGTAAAAGTCTTAAAATTTTAAAATACTAAATGACCAAGATATCCTTTATGCTACTCTTATGTTACTTTTTCACTTTTTCATCCATTCCTCTTCTCACATACACTCACCCTCTCATAACTGATTTTTTTAAATTATAATTTTAAATATACACTTTATACTCCTATAATTAGTTAATTAATTTACTTTACGTCCTTTACTTTTAAATGTTTCATTTTAAACTTTTATCAAATTAACATACATAATCGTATATCAATTAAAACATGTTTAAAAAATACATTTTTATTTTAACAAGTTACACCATTATGATCGTCTCGTTAATACCTTCGAAATGAGTCCAATATTGAATAGTTTTTGACTTAATTATATTATTATATATTATATATACTGTGAAAAAAATACTTTTAATATTTACGATTTATACTTTTATAGTTATTTATTTATTATATACTATATATTTTGGGGTTAGGTTGTCCAAATTGCACTGTATAATATGTTCTGAATTAATATGTTCTTGGGTTTTTTTGAAATATATATATACATGTATTAATTCAACCTTAATCTGAGTTTCTGGACAAGAAAAAGGATAAACAGATGAAATTTCATTCTAAAACTCATCTTGATCTGTCAAATTTGTAGTTTTTTTATTGGTTTTGAGTGTTTATCTTAAAACTCAAGTTTCTTGGTTCTTTGTTCTTGGTGTAAATCGAACACATTTGTAGAGTCGTTTAAATATGTTGGACTTTAAATTGTCATACAATTTTTTTCATCAATAGTCTGTAATTGGAACCATAACTCTTATTTATTCAAATTGTATTAATATGTAAAGACCAAGTGTAACCTATATCATCGTTAAATCTTATCTTATAAAACTAGTGGAACTTCAAAATCATTAAAATTCATGACTCCCGCCGCATTGCGTGGGTACACAACTAGTGTATATATATATATATATATGTATATGTATATGTATATGTATACATCAATCACATTTAACGAAATCAAGCTTCTCATGTGTCTCATCGTACCAACGAATTTTCAAACATATGTTATATAATTTTTAAAATTTAAAATAATAATTCTATAATTTGTCTGAAGTTTTTTTCATGATTCTCTATTTTAGAGAATAAAATAAGAAAACTGTAGAAAAGAATAAAAAAAACAGTCTAATCTGACCGGTTTAAACAATTTGGGTCTGTTATGGATTTACCTAAAAAACATAACGTCTATCTATAAAATAAAATTTCTACCAACATAACATTATTAAAAAAAATATTATAACCGGATTATAAAAAAAACATTTATCTGAACAATTAAATAAAAAAACATCGTGCAAGTTGAATCGTTAAAAAAGAGTTAAACAAACTCACCAAGAATAGCTCAAATTTTATACGATCGTTGAGTAAGTCGATGAACAATTTGGAATTAGGTTTTTGATTTCTGATGAATTTCAGTATTTTGCTGTTAAGAATATGGACAACTGAGAAATAGAAACTAGCAAGGTAATGTCTTCAGCATATTTTCTAATCGAGTCACAAAAGTTTAGTTTACAACATAAAAACTATATATAATTAATATATATGTAGATATGGGTTATTATACAACTCTTTACATTTGTACAACCAATACAATCCAATCTCAACCGTCCATTTAATTTGATAAATATGTAATTTTATAGAAGTTTTGATTGTTTCATAATGTAAAGTATTGATCATAATTAATGAACCTTATTCATATTCCATAAATATTTATATCGTAATAAATTAACTCTCATCATTTCCATAAATATTTCAATTTATTATGTTGCATTGGTTGTACAAATGTGATGGGTTGCATTTGAAACAAACTCTATATATGTATTGTAGCGGTCGGTTCGGTTCAAATCGCTCACAAAAAATTTCAAACCGCAAAACGGACCGTACTAAATGATTTGGGTATTTTTTAAACCGAATCAGAACACCATATATCTCAAACCACTAAAAACAATTTGGTTTATATTAGTTTAATCGATTTGAACAGTTCAACGGTTTTTTTAAAAACACCCGGTTGATTGGTCCTATATTTCTATTGATGTTGGGCCGTGGTACAGGCTTTTTATGAATCACAAAATTGGGTTTAATGTTGGGCTTTTTTTTGGCCCAACAAACTGGTTTAGAAAAAAAACATTAAATAATAATAATAAATAGTTGTTTTTAAAATAAATTATAAATAAATAGCTAGCAATTCCCAAAAATTGTCTTTTTTTTGCAAAAGAAAATGGGGGAAATTGAATGAAAAATTAACGTATTTTTTAAACTTTCATTTTGTATCTAAGATGTAAAGTTTTAAACATTAAAGTATTTGAGTAACTTGTTGAAAACTAATTTCAGAGTAAAAAATAATAACTTTAGATTAAAAAAATCTATGTCACTAACCACGTCAGCAAAGAATACTGAGTTGAATACCACATCACTCGCCACATCAGCATAACAACCAATCAATGTTTCAACCGGTTACCTAGATACTTAAATATTTGAACTTTACATCATGTTTTTTTTTAATATTTTATTTATTTAATATTTCATCGATATAAATTCACTTTAATTGAACAACTTTTTATATGAAAGAGTTATTTCACTTTATAAATAAAGATAGTGGTGACGATGACGATATATGTGGTGATTCTGGTGGTGGTAGCAATGGCGGTGGTGATGACCACGACGATGGTGGAGGTGGATGTGACAGTGGTAACGATGGTGATGGTAAAAGTGTGGGACTAATTATAGATTCGGTCGCTGTACTTTCGGACCTGTAGGTCTAACGCTGTTTTTGAAATATGGGAAAATGATTAAGTGATGAATTCAAAGCCTGAAAATAACTATTTATATTAATTTATCCTAAAATTTATTGTTAGAAGCCAAATAACTTGTGTTACGCCATATACGAATTTAAACGCTTGAAAAATAAAATGAACACATTAATAAAACTGTATCAATGAAATTTACCATTCAAATTCCATCAGATTCCGCATTAATTCAAGTGCACACAAAATGGGCAAGATGGATAAACGACAACATGTGGGTATAATCAAGACACGACGACTTCGATCTTTCCCATGTTATCCATGGAGAATGTGCTCATAACTCTGCTTCTCCTCACCCACCCTCTTCATATCCTCAACTTTACCCACCCCCCACTCCCCGGAAAATGCAATTCTCCGCCGCTGTAACACCACCGCCGTACTCCTGCGTATCCCGTATTGCTCATCTCTCTCACCTCCTTACCACCGATGTTTCTTCTCTGAAATCCCCATCGATTTTCCCAACTAATCTCTTCATTTGTCGAAGTTCCTTAACCCCCAAAAAACCCTCACCTTCCTTTTCAACTCCTAAGGTTTCCGTCTCCGGCGATAGCTCCAAAACTCAGCTCATTGATCTAATCGACGACGACGACGAAATCGTTCGTCAAGCTCGGGTGAGCTTTTATTCTCTCACTCTCTACTTCATTTTCTATTGGATAAGATCGATTAATCCCTAATTTATGGAGAAATTTGATGAATATATGAATATGAACAAGGAGATTTTGTATCTAAAACTTTGTTTCTACAAAGAAGTAGAGATCTGCTGATTGGAAGGCAGCAAGGGCACATTATGAGAATGGAATTGTGTATCAAGGAAGGATTGAAGGATCTAATGGAGGAGGTCTGTTAATTAGGTTTTATTCTCTTGTGGGGTTTCTTCCATATCCACAGTTGAGTCCATCGCATTATTGCAAAGGTATGTAATATTTCTCAGAAACCAGTTTTGATAATTTATATTCATTAGAAGATGAAGAACAGAACTTGGGAATGTTGTATGTGATTGTTGATTTTGTTGATGAATTCTCATCAAATACTACGAGGGAGGATCACATAAGGATTAAAGAGTTGATTCAAGTTGCTAGAAGGCGGCAAGTTCCCAGATCATATATGATTAGAATGATACAATACGCTTAATCATATATGATTAAACACATCGCTCACGACTTGGTGATTGGAAGAAGGTCGCCTGCTATGAGATGGCCAATGCAACATGTGTTTAGTCATATATGATTAAAATCTTGTCTGTTAGCAAATCAATGAGCTTAATGAGATTCGTAGCTTATTCGGTCATCTATCATGACTGTTTGACTGTCGCTTAATGATATAGAAGGTGGCTTATTCAGTAAGCTTTTATGGGAGCTATCATGACTATTTGGTAGTGGCTTAAGGATATAGAAAGTGGCTTATTCAGTAAGCTTCTACAGGAAGCTTTATGCGGAAAACCAAGTTTTTTTAAACATTCCCCTCCCAATTAAAAACATGGTCCTTCCATCTATGAAAAAACCCTCCCAAACAAAAATATTCCAAATCTATACAGACAAATTAATCCACGCAAACAACTTTATACTTAATGAAAAACCAACCAAACCGCATGCCAACAACTTTATACTTAATGAAAAACCAACCAAACAGCCCAAGTGTGCGTATCATGCATAATGATACATGATCTTGGAACTTCTTTCATTCTTGCAAATTAACTCGTTTGAATCTGACTTTGTATATAGCCCTTGAAAGAAAAAATCAAGACAGAAAAGAGGCACTACAAGTATACAACAAAATCAAGTTTATAGGACGTCAAAAAGTGTTTAATAGGCTACTTTATAGGACCTAAGTATAGGACCAAACTGTTGCATGTTCTATCTAAAATGTTGTAATAGACATTTTTAGACGTCTTAAAATCATTTTTAGACGTCTTAAAATCATTTTTAGAACACTTCTGAAACAAAGTGTCCTGTTAGCATTTTTACAAGACACTTTTAAGAAGTGTCGTATAAACACATAGGATACTTGTTTTATAAGAACAAATTTTCAAATAATGTCATGTAAAAGGGTTAACAGGACACTTTGTTTCAAAAGTGTCCTAAAAAGCTTTTTAAGCCGTCCAAAAGCGTCATATAAACTTATTACAACACCTTTAAATGAGACGTACAAATGTTTTGTCCTAAATACCGAAGTCCTATAAAGTGGTCTATTAGATCACTTCCAACATTTTTGGCGTCCTATAAACCAGATTTTGTTGTAGCGAGTGTTCTAAAATAATTGTCATTTTCAATAAGATGGCAACATAGAAATAGGTTTCAGTTGCTAACCTATATCACTTCTATGCAACAATTTGGTGGTAAATCATGTAGAGCCAGACAAGTCAATTCAAGAGATTGCAAAAGCCTTAACTGGTTCTCTCATTTCTGTCAAGGTACACTTTGCTTCTTATAATACCCTGTTGTGTATTTAGTGCCTATTCTGTTCAAAGAAGTGATTATTGACTTTTTGAGGTCAATTAAGCTCAATCATAACTTCAAATTCCTAATGGTATAAACAATGAATGCTTTAGGTGATTCATGCAGAAGAGGAGAAAAGAAAACTTATATTCTCTGAAAAAGAAGCAAGTTGGTCAAAGTATTCCAATTCTGTAAAAGTTGGAAATGTTTTTCAAGCAAGAGTTGGTTCTGTTGAAGACTATGGTGCCTTTGCTCACTTGCGCTTTCCAGACGGTATGAACAAATTTGGGTTTCGGGTCTCTCTGTTTTTTGGTCAAAGTTGATCAAGGTTTGTAGTTCATCGGATGCTATCGGAAATCTGATGCAGGGTCTTATCATCTTACTGGACTTGTACATGTTTCGGAAGTCTCGTGGGATTTGGTTCAAGATGTGAGAGATATCTTGAACGAAGGCGATCAAGTGAAGGTCAAAGTCATTGGTGTCGATAGGTGACGATCTGTATCTTGTTTTTGTGTGTTAAGAGTTTAATAACGGCTAGATTTGGACCATTTCTACCCAAACCTTCTCTCTTCAAGAGCTCCAAGCTCTTTTGGAGAGTAATCTATTGGGGGTTTTACATATTTTTACATGGTATCAGATTCTGCTTTAGGGACTCAACATTCTGGGGCAACCTGTACTTGTCTAGCCCCCTAATGTTGAGACTATCTGTGTGGGACGTGTTAAAGTTCCACGTCGGCTAGACTTGGACCATTTCTCTTCGGTATATATTGGAACCTCATTTTTTTGGAGGGTAATGTAATGAGGTACCATGTATTCTCACACGGATTGTAAAAAGGAATAAGAGGCTGTTTGGTTGGTTTTCCATCAAGTCTGGAATGAATAAAGCTGTCTGTGTGGATTAAGTTGTATGAATTAGGAAGATTTTTGTTTGGGAGGGTTTTTCACTCAGGGAACGAGCGTGTTTTTTAATTGGGGAGAGAGAGGATTGGAAAAAAAAAACTTGACTTTCTGCATAAAGCTCCCCTAGAAGCCTACTGAATAAGTCACTTTCTGTCATTAAGCTACTACCTGTATATGTATAATTGACCGTATAAGTTGCAAGGCTCATTAAGCTGCTAACAAACAGGCCCTAAGACTTTAGTACTCGTTTTTCTTCTTCCATCATCATGGGCTTATAATTTAAGATCATATTGTAGGAATAAATCAAGAATCACATTGTCAATAAAGCAATTGGAGGAAGATCCATTGTTGGAAACTTTGGAGAAAGTGATTCCTCAGGTATGATTTATGGTTTTAATCCAGCATCCTATTGCATGTTGTCTGAATGAGAACGGAGTTCCTTATAACCTGTTATATGTAGGATGGTTCAACTGGTTCTGATTCCGACAACACTGCTGATTATGTTATCGAGCCACTTCCAGGCCTCGAAACAATAGTTGAAGAGCTACAACGAGAAGATGGGTACGACCTCGTGCTTTATTAACGATAAATCTCTAGATCTTTAACCATCTATGTTTTCTAACGTTCTGATTTGCTAAACCAGCATAATCGACATAAAAATAACCCGTCAAGGATTCGAGAAACGGGTGGTGTCACAGGATCTGCAGCTTTGGTTGTCGAATGTAAGTTGCTTGTATTGCTAGCATTAACCAAGATTTGCATCTGTTGATGTGCACATTTGCTAAACTTTAGGTTTTGGAAAGTAATCGAGTAGGGTTCTACATATTCTCACGTGGTATTAGAATCTAGTGTGTAAGGTCTAGCCCCCCAACTTGTGCCCGTCTAGTTTTTGTTGGAGGGGGACGTATTAGAGTGTCTACTGGAACCTCCTTTCTCTAGGTCTACTGTTCTAAGGACTCGATACTCTTAAGACGATAAATATTTGTCTAGCCACCTTTCAACACTCTAGGACAATTTGTGACCATTGATGTCCCACGTCTGCAAAGACTTGGACCATGTACACACATAATTTTACAAATATCAATACAAACTTACAAAATCAGTTTCCATGTTTTGTTCGACATATGATGAGGCACCACATACAAAAATATGCAGTGTTTATACAATGTTGTTTCATATGTGAAACGTTTGAGACTGGTTTGTGCATATAAAAAATGGAGTCCTGAACGTCTCACATATGAAACAACATTGTGTAACACTGCATTTTCACACACATGAAACAACACATAGAAAACAACACATAGAAACTGAGGAAGTTGTCTGTGTGCATTAATCTTTCTGTGAAAGATGAGGAAGGTTTTTCTTTGATAGCATTTTTCCATATACATAATGAACATATTTTTTTAATTGGGATTTGGGAGGCCGGAGGAATGTGTTCAGAAAAGAAACTTCGACATTCTGTATAAATCCCCCTAGAAACTTATTAAATCCCCCTAGAAACTTATTGAATAAGTCACTTTCTGTATCATAGAGCCACTACCAAACAGTTATGCATCGCGTGAAATTGCTAACAAACATACGCTAACTTATAATTTTGCACTGTGACAGGCACCACCTAATGGCAACCAGTTCACTCTCCTGGCTCGAGCCGGAAGACAAGTGCAAGAAATACAATTGGTAACCTCACTCGATCAAGATGGGATCAAAAGTGCGTTACAGCGAGTGCTGGAACGTGTTCCCTGACTCCAACTTTTACTTCCAAGTTTTCTCGATATATATAATATATACACCAGTTCTTATAGTTTCCTACTTATTGTACAGAAATCACATCAAAACCTGTAACTATTCTTTTACCAAATCTTGAGTGTTGTTACAGTGGATTCATAACATCAAGATGCTTATTTTGGGAGAAAGAGAACTCCAGAAATTAACATAGAAAACCTCACACGAAAACTCTCGGAATGGGTTCCAAACTTGGGTGGCCACTTGGCTTGCAATCGATCTCTCTTAGAACAGTCTTGAGCCCGTCTCCACCGGCGTTAGCTTTCGGGTGTATTCCATGGGTTAATCCTTGCATGTATGCTCTGTTTTCCCTTTCTTTCTCGAAGGAAACCCCGTAACGAGTTTCCACTTCTGTAACCGATGCATACAGTTATCGGTGTGTGTATATATATAAGAAGGATCATGCGAGGAAGTTAAAACGTTTTATGAGAAGATGAGAGGTTCAGATCTCATGTATAATTATACTTTTTTTGGTGTTCTAATCATATATGATTAAACGTCTATGTATTATCAATACAACATGTGCTTGATCATATATGATTAAGTTTGAGTATCATTTGTGTAATGATATATAATATTGAAATGATTCGTCTTTTTCAAAATGCTTAGATTCTTGGGTTAAGGGGAAAAAAATAAAAACCAAGGCTGTAACCATTTATCTGGATGATATGTAATAATTGAAGTTGTATGTATACTAAAAAAATTACTTATATGCAATGCATATATATATCATATAATTAATGGTTACTAAGTGTTCCTTAGTTTTGTTTTTGCCGTTTTCACTATACATATAGAGGGAGGTTGAGGGAGAAACTCAAAATGATAAAAACTGAGAAACATCTTAGTAACCATTCATTTGACCGGTATGAAGATATGATGCATATATGCATACTAGAAAATTTGTTTACAAATTACTTACATCTCCCATGAACAATCACCAGGGTGTTCTTCAATTTTTTATTTTTTATTGTTTTTTCTTTCTCTGTATATATAGAATGAAGAAAATCCAAAAAATAAAAAACTGAAAAACATTTCTTTCATCATGTGCACACAGTAATTAAAGTGTTCCTTGATTTCTACGCATATTTGTTCTATATATGGTATAAATTATATGTATGCACATTTATATACCGTCAGGAAGAGTGTGTTCCTCAATTTTACTCTAAGTTCATATAAGTAATTAAAGTTGTTTATATATATATATATATATATATATGTTTATAGGGGAATAATCAAACGAAAACTTAGTTTATGGTAATCATGAGATTCAATCTTAACCACAAATCAATAGATAAATTAGAAAATTTATAATTTTGATAATTTTGAATTAAAATTTTAATACAAAAATATTTTTGGTATTTTAAAACACTCTCTCCGACCATCGTCTTCCGGCCACCGTCCTCCGGTGATACCATAATGGTATCACAATACATCATATATATATACTTGAGTATCATATTGAAGTCGTTTGTGTGGTCGATCAGAAATGTAATACAGTGGTATCACAATGCATTTTATATATGATTGGGTATCACAATATATCTTTTGTTTAAAAGAGTCAATATTTTTAGGTATTACCGGAGAACGGTGACCGAAGGACACAGAGAAAAGAGAGAAGAGAGAAGAGAAAACACCTAAAATGTTCTTGCATTAAAATTTTAATTCAAAATTACCAAAATTATAAATTTCCTAATTTATATATTGATTTATGGTTAAGATTGGATCTTATAACCACAAACAATTCAGTTCTTTCTTGAATGAACCCCTATGTTTATATATATGTTTATATATATATATATATATATATATATATGTTTATTACACAAATTAAAATATATGGGAGGTCAAAACTGCCGGAAATGATACCTTTAGCAAGGGTAGGGTTGAGTTGTCCATCTCGAGTTAAAGCCATCATCACCTGTGGAAGACCAAGTGGAAGTTCATCACCTCTATCCACCTGCCAAAAGTGAATCGTCTTCCCGTACGTCTTCGCCACTTTCTCCAAATCCGTCCGTTCTACCGGACCAGGAACGCCCGGAAGGAAAAGCACGCCGCTCTTCACCTCATATTCATGGCTGTGCCACATCGGCTTCTCCGAATCTGGCAACGTCAGGAACAGTTCTTCCGTCACTATGTATTCCACTCCGATCAGCCGAGCGTCGGCGTCTGGCCGGTCGTAGATCAGACACTGTCGCATTTCTTCGTTCTGATGGCCGCAGAAATGGTGCGCCTCCACTTGCCGAGTCATGTCGTCGGCGTAAAAGTGAAATCTGAATGAAAAATTTAACAAAATTAACATCGATTTCGTTGATCCTTACAAGATCTGATGATCGGAGAATCCAATTGAATGGTGATTTACACTTACGCGCAGAGGTGTTGATGGATTTTTTTGGTTGGGCCGAACGATTGGATGGCGGAGGCGGCGGAGTCGACGAGAGACGTGCCGAGTTTGGTCTTTTCTCCGGGAACGTCCGGGCGGGTTGATGCGTTAACGCTTTCCATTTTTTCCGATTTGATTGATTGATTTCTGTTGTGATAAGATCAGAGATGGCGATGTCCGGTGAGGTTATTGCAGAGGTTCTTAAAGTGACTGGCTGAGTAATGAAGCGGTACAGGTGGCAGTGAAGGTGGGCTTAGGTGGCGCATTGTGTTCACCACGTGGCAAGTGACGTGTCTTGTGTTTCTTAAAATGACGTAAACATACGTTTTTTCCTTTGACTTTTTCTCTGAATGGAAGATGGTGATAATAATGCGACACGTGGAAAGGGCTTATACCATGTCGTTTTTCAATGTCTTATTACCATCATCGATTGTTTATCCTTCTTTATGTCATAAACCTTATTTTATAATTATTATTTTTTATATATTGGTTTAGAGTTAAGAGACTGTCTCTTAATCGATAAGATGTGAATCTTGTTTAATAAAATAAAAGTATGTTTTTTAATGATTTTAAAATCCTTTAAATGATTTTGTATTATGAGTGTTCTTTAACCATTCAGTGTCCTAATTTAATTGTAAACAATTATCAAATAAATATATTTTATTTTACACTGTGTCATGAGAGTCTCTTAATCATTCTGACCGCTTAATTATTATGAATCAAACCATTCAGCAACTGCCAAACAGCCCATAAGAATTTGATTAAAAATTTGATTCATGTAGTTTGATGATTATGATGAAATTGGTCCACAAACTTTAATTATTACATATATTTTTGTATTTTGTTTTCGATTTAATCCTTCAGTCCCTTCATGTTATTATTTACAGAATCAAAATCATTATTTTCTCGTTTTCTTTATTTTACCATTTATTTAATTATTCAAATAAAATTGATCGTTTAATTATTTTTCTCTAACGATCAAAGCCTCCAAGTTTTGACATCCATTATGCTGTAATGAGAAATATTGCAAGAATTAACTAACGTTATTGCTAAGCTCATCAATGATGGTGTATACTGCTATCGACAATGATGGTGTATACTGCTATCGACACTGATCGACCAAGACTCTATTTTCTAGCTAATGGAGGGTGGTAACGTAGCGGCATGTGGTAAAGCGGTGTTCCTGCATCCACTATCGTGACAAGGCTGCGTGTAGAAACAAGGATGTTAGCATACAAAACAACTCAAATCTCTCATGTTGCTCTGCCAACAAGAATTTAAGGTACAACATCTTTTTGCTCTATTTTACGTTATTAAATATTTGTGTTGTCACGAGAGTTTGAAGAAGTTATGAAAAATTGACAAAAGTGTCCTCATGTGTGAGGTGCATAGGTCACTTAACAGGACCCACTTAACTGCTGTTAAACTCATGGACCAAATCCGCAAAAAACAATAAAATATAAAAGATTATTTATAAGTTGTAAACTATAGGGATGAAATCAGGCATTTTGAATAAACCATAAGGGCTAAAAATGTAACTTACCCTTATGTATTTAGGAAGAGTCGGTAGGCGGTAGAAGGAAAAAGTCGGGAAAGAGGCGTGCAGTAGCTAACCGGCATTCACCTTGGTCAACATTGTTGCCCTAAAAATGGCGCATATCATGCCCCACCAATTTCTTTATCATCTGATTGATATAATCAATCAGCTTAAACGTCCTTATCATCACCACAATCTGTATCCACTCCCATTTTCTAGCTCGTATAATAACCATCTCCAACTGGTTCAACAATCAACTGTTTCTACTACTTCTGTTCCGAATTTGATTCACCCGTTTATGGCCGTTAATCCGGTTGATTTATCCTAATCTGAAGTTGGTTTTGTGATTGGTTGACGGTTCGATGGATTATTCTAACAAGCCGATCGAGCTTATGGCTTTGGATTATTTAGGATTAGGGTTTGATGTTGCGAGCGATTTTCGGTTGAAGTTCGCGAAAAGATGTCCTGATGGTGGACGGTTGGTGGAGCTGAATGAATCGAGGAAAAGAGACATTGTTCTTCCTGGAGGTGGTGCTACCATATCTGGGGTTTCTGAGGATATTCGTTGTGATAAAGGAGATCGTATTCGGTTTAAATCCGATGTTTTGGAATTTAATAAGGTGATGACTTGTTTATTTACTAAGATATTGCATAATCCTACTCCTCTTTCGTATAATCAGGATTCACTTTCCATGTTTGGGATTCAAAGCTACCCAGTTTCATGATTTTCGATTCAAAACTACTCAATTTCATAAATGGTTGCTAGTTACTTCGAATTTAGTAATTAAATTTGGAACATGTAGCTGTAAACTTCAGAAGGAGCCCTAATTTTGGAAGTATTCGTCAGATGCATGTGAATTCATGATTTTCGTCGTTTATGATCACTTATGTTTTGATAAAATTGGTGTCTTTGGAATCTTGTGGAATGTCGTAAAGTAGCACTACTGACTTATTCAACTGTTGATGATTATTCTTATTATTTTTAAAATGCAATGCAATTATAACAAGATATCTTTATATATAATAGGGTACCATCTTTTCAAGAATTTTTTAGTTCTTGAGATCTCTGAAAAACCAGTGCATCGTTGGCTATCTCATATGATATTTTTCATCTATGACTAGAATTTAATATAGTGATTAATATATAGTTGTTCCACAATGTGCCTTTCATATGAACTCTGCTCACAATCTGAAACTTTTTGGCATGTGTGTGAAATAAAAAATATATATAACTTTTTTTTCACATTGTGAACTGAATACGTATAACACCATACAATACTGTTTACCTTGCTAGCTATGGACTAATAAGGCAAACTACATTTAGAACATCGAAAAAAAGTCGTTTAAATCAAATTCAAGGCGATCATGTAATATAAATTATTTTAGAAAAAACGGAAGCAAGAATTTGCTTCATGACCTATGGATCATGAAATTAGTGCCCTAGTTGTTGATTGATTCATGAGTTGACATGCTATTGTAACAACTCATCCCACATGGATAGAAAACGGGATTTATGAGATCCTTATAAGCCTCAAGTTGTGGGCTACCGCCTACCAATAGCTTCCACCATGGTTTTAAGTTGAGCATGAAGTTATTGGACCATCCTGTCGCTTTCGGCTTTGGGGTTCCAGAAATGGTATCAGAGCCGATCCTTGTACCATCAGGCTGTAATCATCTCTTTCACATCTTTTTGATGAATTAATGTGCTTTTTTTGTCGGTAATGAATTTCCATTGCCATTTCTATGAAAGGTGGTAGTGTATTTATTGCTAATACGAAGTTTCTGTATCTTTTGGTATATTTGTCAAGCAGATGTCAGAATTACTCAATCAAAAATCATCAATACAAGGAAAAGTACCGTCAGGATATTTCAATGCGTTGTTTGATTTAAGTGGAGCATGGTTAAATGATGTGGCCGAAGCCAAATATCTTGCGTTTGATGGTTACTTTATCTCTCTTTACTATTTGCATCTAACAGCAACTCCACCAGTACTCCAAGAAAGAGTGAAGAAGTCTGTTCCGACTTATTGGAATCCATTGTTACTGGCGAGGTAAATATCTGTTTTACACTAAGTGGCTATCTTCATGCACTTATGAAAAATAATTGTAAGGGAATTCAACTATTTGTTCCAATTTCCAAATGTGTATTCAAGGAACATTTTGCCACGGTAATTGGTAAGTTGGGCACATTGTAGTCATGATGACAAGATCAATCAACTTATATCCAGGAAAGATACGGAACTCATGATATTTGATTCAGCTTGGATGTGAAATTCAATAAGCAACTTGTTCCTCATATCTCTTCTTTTAGCTTTGCAGGCGTTATTGCTAACGACAATAGAATCTGAGTTGCAAGTTACCTTTTTCGGGACTCTTATCTGATATGTTGTATGTGACAGGTTCATTCAGACTTATGGCACCCATATTATAGTGGGGATGGCTGTTGGGGGTCAAGATTTAATTTGTGTTAAACAGAAAGCATCCTCCACTATTTCTTCTGCAGAACTCAGAGGATATCTGGACGATCTTGGAGATAGTTTGTTTTCAGATGGGAGGAGCCCTTCTCTAATAGAGAGGAAAACAAGAGATGGAAAGCAAAAGGTAAATTAGAGTTTTGTCATGTTCTTACTTTACTAGTTTTTACTTCTCAAACTATTATATAAATTTTCAGTTGATATTTCACGACTATTCGTCAGGTTCCAGATGTTTTCAATCGTATGTTGCAGCCACACACCATGCAATTTACCAACATTACAGAAACGTCAAGCAAGGATGTAAGTTGAAAAATACAGTATACTCCCTTTGTCCCAAAATAAACGTCCACGTTTCTGTTAGGGGTTGTTTGGTTGGTTTTCCATTAAGTTCTCTATGGGTAAAGCTGTCTGTGTGGATTAATCTGTCTATATTAGATTGAGAATGTTTATGTTTAAAAAGGTTTTTTAATATAGGGAAGATGCATGTTTTTTAATTGGGAGGGGCAGATTTAAGAAAAAAACTTGCCTTTTTGCATAAAGCAACTCCCCTAGAAGCTTACTAAATAAGCCACTTGCTATATCATTAAGTCAGTGCCAAAAGTCATGTATAGTTGACTGAATAAGTTGCAAGTCTCATTAAGCTCATTAAGCTGCTAACAAACAGGCCCTTAGTTTGTCTCAAAATAAGTGTCCACTTTCAAAAGCAAGTGCATGCTTTTCAATTCTACCCTTAATTATGAGATGAATAAATTCATTACTTTACGTCCTCTATTATTAAGGTTAAAATTGTCATTTAGTTGATTAAAAGTGTAATAATTACTTATCTAGACTATGTGCCCTTTTCGTTATAGACGTTTAGTTTGGGGCGGAGAGAGTAATTTTAATGATGTTGAGTATGGACCCTTGATTTATGGTCTACATTGGAACAGGGCCTCACAGTCATCGAGTGTAAAAGAGGCGGGGACGTGTTTTCAGACAGTCACTCAAAGTGGCTTCAGACAGTGGGTTCTAATCCTGAAGCAATGCTCTTCAAGTTTGTACCAATTACGTCTCTCCTTAATGGAGTTCTCGGGAGTGGATATCTTAGCCATGCAATCAATTTATATTTACGCTGTAAGCCATCCCTCTTGCCATGTTTTCTTAAATGATACCACTTAATCACACAGGTTGCTTTGCTATTTCCGAGTCTGTGCCTTTATTTCATGCTAAATGATACTTCCGTTGAACATTGAGATAAATTTATCGGACTACACTAGTGCTGGAGACAGTATAGAGTTTGATTTCTGTTTTATGTTAAGTTGGAACGTCAATACATCTTACCCCCAGATCCCACCTCCAGGTGAGACATTAATTGCCTCTTTTCGATTAAGCACTAACCGGGTGGGTGCCTGTTTGTTAGCAGCTTAATGAGCTTAATGGAACTCATAGTTTACGCGGTCAGCTATTTTGGTAGTGACTTAATGATACAGAAAATGCATTTTTCAGTAAACTTTTAGGGGGGAGCTTTATGCAGAAAGTCAAGTTTTTTTCTAAACCTGTCCCTCCCAATTAAAAACATGTTCCTTCTGTCTATGAAAAAACCTTCCCAATGTATATAGACAGATTAATCCACCTAGACGTCTTTATCCATACAGGACTTGATGAAAAATCAACCAAACAGCTCCTAAGAGTGTTGTCTGGGTAAGAGGTTCGCTGACTGAGAGTGTCTTTCCTTAGTGAGTCAATATTTTGTCCAGTCATTATGGTAAAAAAAACCTCACTTCTTACCCGGTAAGAGGTGGTCAACAATTAGTAAACGGCCATTAAATGTTATCTTGAGTAACACTCTGTTGGTTTATTTGGCATGATTGATGAATTTACATTGACATTCCTTTTGTGAATCATGTTGCTCAGACAAGCCTGCTCTAGAAGACTTGCAATGTTTCTTAGAGTTTCAAGTTCCGAGACTATGGGCACCTTTATTCTGCGAGCTACCTCTGAGGCATCAAAGAAGAAAGACTACGTGCCCTCGGCTTCAGTTTAATTTCATGGGCCCCAAGATTTACGTCAGCACGACCCAGGTAAGCCACATCTATTTATTTACTGTTTTGGGTTCCGGTGAGGATGAAATTTATGGTGAGAAGGGTAAGAAGGGATCTCCACCCTTGGATCAATCTTAATTGAAGAGAACTACTAGATCAATTCTCTTATAAAGTGCAATCCATGGGTTGTTTTGGGATTAAAAGTGATCAAGGGTCCAAATCCCTTCTTACACTTGCACCTTAGCTCCTATTCTCACACCCTTCGTGTTATTGTTATTCCACCTCGTTGTGCTTAGCTTCTCTTTACCGGATTTCTAGATTTTAAGGGTATGGAACATTAGGCTCAAGTAAGATGTAGGATGTTGGCAATCTCCTAAGGGTGCATTTGGAACGTGTCATAGTACAAGACAATACAAAACAAAAATTTGTTGTCCCACATTTGGTGCCACTATTAGACAGGGATCGCACATGACTGAGTGGGGACAAAAATGCATTTTTTCTATCCCACCAAAATAGGTGGACAAAAATCCGGGAGATGGGACAAGCTTGGTAGATTAGGATGTGTTTGGTATACTGGACAAGACAAAACATAACAAGGATCACTTTTCCATGTGTGGCAGGTAGAACATAATGGAACAAAGTGGAACAGGAGTGTTCCACTGCCATCCCATGGAACAAGGTGAAGCAGACCTATATTTTACCAATATAGATTTCAAAATAAAACCTAATTCTTTTATAAAACATCAAATGGGTCTCCCTCATTGATAATAAAAACATAATATAGAAGTGTAAAATGAAAATTGGAAACTACATAAACTTTTTATTTTGGTTTCACTTTAATCGTCTTGAAGAAAACTTTCTAATGATATATTTTAATATAAAACATATTTATTTTATCAAATATATAAACAATCCATTAGGGGTAATTTGGTCATTTATCAATTGTCGTCCTGTCTAGTTATGTCTTACCTTTATTAAACTATCTTCAAATTTAAAATTCTAAAACCTTCCACACTTCTTTCATCTGCCTACTCACTCTCACTTACCTTCCTACTTTATTGCATTTGACTTCCTATTTTTTCTCAAATGGAAAGATCTTTAAAATTCTTAGAATTTGCATTACTCATGGATTCAATTTACTCTAGCCCTCAACAAGGAATGGGCTTTTTTTTCCAACCATGCTTCAGAGTTGTGGCACAACTTCTTGTTAGCAATTATTGAATTTCTTGATGTGAAATCCATCTGAATGAGTGTCGTTTATTTACGTATATGTCAACCGAGCAATGTTTCTTAGAATGTCTCATAACGGGTTTTGGTCAGGTTCTAAGTGACGACAAACCGGTCACTGGTCTACGCTTGTTTCTGGAAGGCAAGAAATGCAACCGATTGGCGATGCACGTGCAGCATCTCTCGAGTCTTCCAGATACCATGACAGAAACACCCCCAAACTCCACCATATCCCGACGACCTCCTCGGTGGCGAGGCACCGATGAATATGATTCTAGCGCTCAGTTCCTCGAACCAATCAGATGGAACCGTTATTCAAACGTATGCTCGTCTGTAGTCGAGCATGATCCAAACTGGTTACATGGAGAACCACCAGGTGGAGTCTTCATTGCGACCGGAGCTCAGCTCTTAAGCAAGGGGAAATGGCCGAAAACTATACTACACCTTCGTTTACTCTTCACCTACATTCCGAACTGCACCATTCATAAGGCGGAATGGGGCGGTGCACCGGCGGTGGCTCACAAGTCCAGTCTTTTTACCAACCTAAGCTCGACTTTTACATTCACTCAACGGTCGGTAGCTAATGAAGGGAAGCAGCTGCCTACAACACTTAACTCTGGTGTGTTTCCCGACAGCCCACCGGTGCCCGTCCGTTATATGAAATTGCATAAATTTGTGGACACGGACGAGGTTGTACGTGGGCCACATGACTCGCCGGGGCATTGGTTGGTGATGGGTGGTCGGTTGGTCACAGATGGCGGTAAGATCGGTTTGCATGTCAAGTTCGCATTATTAGATTTTGCATAGGAAGTGTAACGACGATTTTGTATATGAGTATGTGTGTGGTTCGACCTTCGGTTTTATTTACATCGAACTGGTTTTTCTTTTAGAGCCAAGTGCAATGGTAGGGCTTTAAACTTATAAGATGCTCACAAATCTACACAGTGGAAAAGGTCTTTAGGATAAGAACACCAAGAACAAAACATACAATTGTGTGTCGTATGTTTCCGTCACAACACATGAAAACGTCATGGTAACGGACTTGCTTATTAAGCTTTCCATGAAGATAACGGTGGAGTGTCGGATTTCAGATACGTGGGGAAACCGTCCATGTATCGCTCGCCCTTGGCTGCATCATTCGATGCAATCGATTCAAGTTCTTCCATGTCTTCTGGTGTTAGTTTGACCGAAAAAGCTCCTATGTTCTGTTGAAGGTTTTTGATCTTGGTGGTTCCTGGAATCGGCACCACATCGGTTCCCTGGTGGTGCACCCACGCCAACGCTAGCTGCGATGGGGTGCACCCTTTCTTAGCCGCGATCTCACTAACCCGCTCGTACAAGGCTTTGTTATGCTCGAGATTCTCTGGTTGGAACCTTGGTAGAGACTACAAAAGAGATTTCTTATTACGATATAATACTCCATCGAGTTCCCTTTTTTATAAATCTAATAATTCGTTCAAACTTATAAATCAATTCTCATGTGCTGTTTCATATATGAAACAACACGTGTGAAAATACAGTGTTGTTTTATAACGTGTTGTTTTATATGTGAAACATTCAATATTGTTTTTTTCTACCTGCAAAACAATCCTGAATGACACAACATTGTATAAACACTGCATTTTTTATATGTGTTGTCTCATATGTAACACATGAAAGCTAGTTTGTAAGTTTGTATGATTTATTGAATTTGTAAATAATCATGCACAATACTCCATCTATCTGAAAATGAATGTCCACACTTCTACTTTAGTTTGTCTCAAAATAAGTGTCAATACTAAATTATGAGATGGAGAAATTCATTACTCAATCTATTCTCAAGGGTAAAATAGTCATTTAAGTTAATTAAAAAAATGTAAGAGTTGTATATTTCTAAAACTATATATCTTTTTCGTTATGGATATTTATTTTGGGTGGAAGAAGTAGTTAATGTATCTGATTCCTTGTTTTTTTTGCAAACCTGACGGAAATCACCCTCGGTCAAGTTCTCGGTCATCTTCGGACCCGATGAAAGAAATCCCCGTCCTAGAGGACTGTATGCAACGATTCCGATGCCGAGTTCTCTGAAAAAGTAGGAGATAGAAAGTGAGAAATTGAGTATCTCGTTACTTTGCTATCAATTCACCGCAACAATTGTTCTACTCTTTGAAGTAGAGGTCAGATTTGTATACATCTAATCCTCTCCGTACGCCACTTTCAATCTAATTCTCTCCGGACCCCACTTTCAATCTAATTCTCTCCGGACCCCACTTTCAGGTGGGATACGTTATGCTCGTGATCGAAACGACCTTTAGAGTAAATAGACGTGTGTTCGAACCTGCAAGTAGGAATAATTTCGTCTTCAACATCCCTTGACCACAAGGACCACTCGAGTTGTATGGCCGTTATCGGGTGCACCGCATGGGCTCGTCTTATGGTCGAAGCCGAAGCCTCCGACAACCCCACATATTTTATTTTCCCTTCTTCCACCAGTTTCTTCATTTCTCCCATCTTAGCAAGAAAACAAAACAATCCCAAAAAATATTTTATACTTATTTTGAGACAAACTAAAATAGAAATACAAACACTTATTTTTAGAATACAGAAATTATTTATTATTACCGTTATTTCAATGGGCACACGAGTGTCGATCCGGTGCTGATAATAGAGATCGATGCAATCGATCCCAAGCCGCTCCAAGCTAGCTTCACAAGCAGCTCTAACATACGCCGGATCACCATACACCACATGGTTTCCGTTCTCGTAATTGATCCCGAATTTGGTCGCTAACTCCGTTTTTTCCCTTACCCCTCCTTTCATAGCCTACACGAAAACAAGCAAAAGTAACCAAAACTTCGTTGGTCTAGTAGTACCCAGATTACTAATCTATAGGATCATATATATATATATTATATAGACTTGAGATCATGTGAGGCCAATGGTTTTTTGTGAGACCCGTAAGACCAATTCTCAACCCTTGGATTAGATCTACAATCTGAACATTCATAATTACAAAATTACCATGAGACTTCTCAATAATCACAAAATTGTCACCGTACAACTTTAGACCATTAGATCATTAGCTTATAAAGTTGATCAATGAACATAAATTGGTCTTAAGGGTCTCACGGAAAACTCTTGGTCTCACGTGAACCCATATATATATATTATACTTCGGATAAAAATAAAACAAGTAATTAGTAGTGAGAACATATCCGACCTTGCCGAGGAGGATCTCGTTGGTTTTGGGACCGTAGACGTCTGAGGTGTCGAGAAACGTGACACCTGCTTCGATGGCGTGGTGGATGAGGTTGATCATGTCGGGTTCGGGTTTTGGCGGTCCGTAGACGGCGGACATGCCCATGCAACCCAAACCCAGACCTGATACTTCCAAACCCTGTGAACCCAGTTTGATTCTTGGAACCTTTGCCATAATTTGTTGCAGACCAACTCAACCTTTTACTTTCCCTTTGGTTGGATTGGTTATGTGATGATAGAAGAATGGTTATAACTGCTTTATGGCCAGTATCATGACGTCAGAGCCTACGTATCACCTTCAATATATGATTTTTTCAACTCAATGAATGCTTACTTTTCAGTCCCCTTTCTTTATTCCCAATATTAACGGGATTAATGTTGACTGTGATAAGAAGTCTGATTGGGATTAATACTGACCGAAAATTGTTGTTTACTAAATATTTTGTATTAAGCACTAATCGAAAGAAAAAGACAAGTATACCCTTTATTTACTAAATACGTTACATATTTTTGGATTTATCAAAGTATATTAATAACTCAAGATGGAGGTTCATTTAGGAACGTTAAATATTTTAGGAACGTACATACAACTCTTTTTATGAGTACTCATGATGAGTAGTATTCATCGTAAATACTCACAAAATAGGTTGTTCCTGCATTTTTAAAATATATAGCGTTTTTAAATAAACACGTCTTTAATAAAAAAAACATATTATCATTTAATTTTTAAATTTAAAACAATTAACAATTCTATTTTCTTTCGATGCTCCATGAAATGATAATTCATCATACCCACTAAATATTTTTCTTTTCTTTAGTGGGACCCGTCATCTTCACCCTTTCCATTTCTTGAGATTTTCAGGTATATAATCTTAAATAAGATTTCAATTAAATCCATGACCTTCTCATGAGTATAAATCTATTTTTTTCTTATATAGGTTAGGAGGTCATGAATTTAATTAAAAACTCGTTTAAGATCGTATCCCTAAATGACACGTTTTGCTATGTAATAAAATTAATAAATTTGACTTGGGTCAGAACAGGTTGAAATGTTAGCGCAGGATGTATACATCCTTTACCTTAAGAAGACCATTTTCGTGAAAACGCAGGTCTGATGGTAGTTATTTCCGAAAGTTGGATACATATGTGACATAAGAAAAGTTTAAATGAGAACTATAAATATTTTGAGAACCTGTTCATATATCATTTATGATAAGTGACATCGAATAATCATAAATATCACGTATTTTAGAGGAAATATAGCATAACTTTTAATTTATCTAAAATAGAGAATCAAAAATCAAAATCTTTAAAATAAATTATATCCGGCTCAAATTATTCTCTATTTTAAATATTTTATTATTGATTATATTATTTAAATATTTTATAATTTTATAATCTTAATACACTTTAAAAAGTAACTTTTGTTATAACATAATATACATTCAATGTGGGATGAATAAAAACACCAGTTATATGTTTCTAACGAGTTATAACTTTTATATTTTAATTAATTTTGTTTTTCTTATTTTAATTACAATATTTGAAGTCTTTATTCAGATTTCCACGACGACAACGGTGGAGTGTCAGAGTTCTTGTAACTGTGGACCAAAAACTGTTCCGGCATTCTAGGACCCTTGAAGGAAGCAACCGATTCAAGCTCAACCATGTCCTCAGCCGTGAGTTTAACCGTCAGGGCTCCAAGGTTTTGGTTCAGGTTTTCGACCTTGGTTGTACCAGGGATAGGACCAACGTCATCCCCTTGGTGCAGGACCCAAGCCAGTGCCAACTGCGGTAGGATGCATCCCTTTTTCTCTGCCATTTCGTTAACTCGCTCACATACGACCTTATTGTGCTCAAAGTTCTCTCCTTGTAACCTCGGAAAAATCTATGAACATGAAAAAAGAACGATCAAGATGTGAATATGAATCATAAGCTACATTTAAGCTTTATGTAATGAACTATATGTCTCACATGGATAGACTACAACAAAATTGGCTTTATAGGACATCTAGATTGTCTACGTGTCATAATGTAATAGAACTTAAGTTTACAGAACCAAACTATAAGACATCGGATCAAAAAGTGACGGAGTGGCTAAGGTCCGGGAGGTGTGGTGGAATATCTCATTCGTCCAGGGTTTGATTCCAAGCGTACATAATAATTGTTTTCACTGAGTTTATTAGGGGTGATTTCTTGCAGTCACAATTTGCCTCGATGATGCCCTTCCAAAAAAAGTTTATAGGGAGTTTTTAGACGTTTTAACAAAAAAAAATGCAGGTAGTTTTTAAAATAAAATGTCCTATTAGCTATTTTATAGGACACTTTTGATAATTGTTCTATAAACCCATCTTTTTAAATATCTTTTAGGACACTTGTATTTCAGTATTTGTAGGACACTTTTTTCAGATATTGTTGCATAGAATAGTTAATACGATATTTTATCTTAAAAGCGTCCTAAAAACTTATTAAAATGCCTAAAAAGCGTCATATAAACCTATTGTAAAACTTTTAGATAGGATGATTTTTATTTTGGTCCTATAAACTTAAATGTTATAAAATATATTTCTAGGACGCTCTTAAAAGTATCCAAAAACTCTGATCAAAGAATCTCTTTTTCTAGATTCATTAAATTCACACGAAATCGCAATATTCTACGAGTACAAACCTTTCTAAAGTCGTTATCCGCCATATTATCCATCAACTTCGGACCTGATGCCAAGAACCCACCACCCAAAGGACCGTAAGGAACAATCCCGATTCCTAGTTCCCTGGACAACATTAACATTACAATCGCTCGTTATTTCTTGAACATTTGAAGCGTATATTATAAAAGGGTCATTGGCCCAACAGTATACCCTAGCCCATGGGTTACCTGCAAGTAGGAATGACCTCCTCTTCCGCATCTCTAGTCCATAACGACCACTCCAATTGTACGGCTGTTATCGGGTGAACAGCGTGTGCTCTTCTGATGGTTTCGGGACCGGCCTCAGATAAACCGATATATTTGATTTTACCTTCTTCAACCAGTTTCTTGAGTTCATCCATCTACAAAATGAAAAACTACTCTTCTTTACAGTGTGCAACATTTGATCACAAATGTAGATTATGAAATATTCTTCCCTAAAATGCCCTCAAATAATCATAAATTTGAAGAATAATGCAAACCAAAATCAATAACATCACTACGGGCTGTTTGGTTGGTTTTCCACTAAGAGACTACTTGGTTGGTTTTCTATTAATTCCTGTATATATAAAACTGTCTGTAATAAATGAGAAGTTTTTTGGTTAGGCAGTTTTTTGTATAAATTGAAGGAGCATGTTTTTTATTAGGTGGAGGTAAGTTTGTAAAAAAATTGCTTTCTGTGTAAAGCTCTCCTATAAAAACTTACTGAATAAGCCACTTCTTATATTATTAAGTCGTTATAAAACGCTGTAAAAATAATTTTCACAGTGTTTTTGCTGTGAAGGCAAAATTGGGGACGAACAGTGATTTCGATAGGGATTTTTGTATCGATCCGATGAACATAGTAAAGATCAATGTAATCAACACCAAGTCGCTTCAAGCTGGCTTCACAAGATGCCCTAACGTACTCCGGTTCCCCATGGATTTCCTCATTACCGCGAATCCCCCCAAATTTGACCCCAAATTTCGTAGCCAATTGAACTTTCTCTCTCTCAATTCCTTTCAAAGCCTGCAACAATCATGATTTTTCACAAACAAATTCCGTCAGATTCCTACCCTAATTATCACATTGAAGCTACGAAAAGCGCAATAATAACGACAACAAAGTATGAACTGACATTGCCGATGAGGATTTCGTTGGCGTGAGGTCCGTAGAAATCGGAAGTATCAAGGTGAGTGATGCCGGAGTTAATGGCGTGGTGGATGAGTTTGATCATCTCTTCTTCTTCTGGTTTGGTAGGGCCATAGCCACTAGACATGCGCATACATCCAAGTCCGAGTGCTGATACCTCTAAACCCTGTGATCCGAGCTTAATTCGTTTCAGGTCTGACATTTTCTCTCTGGTTTTTGTGTTGATTTCAAACACAATTCTATGAAATCCGGTTAAGCAAAGATGATGGAAACTAATTGGAAGATTGTAAGCAAGAACTCAGTCTAAATAACATCATAGAATTGAGTGATTTGCATGTCGATTATCCAAACATGGAAACGCAATACAACGGGAAGTTGCATACCATTTGAGTATAAGAAAATCCTATAAAATTTCAAATGGTGGCACTGTTTGAATATAAAAAATAAATATATGAATTTTTTTTCAATTGGTGGCACAATTTGACTAAGAAAATGACACTAACATAATTTGAACTTGGGTTTATCAAAAAAAATGTTTTCACTATAGTTTCAAAATACATACGGTGACACACAACAGATTAATACGGATGCATCTTTCATGAACCTAATCCAAGAAAAACAAGAAACCACGGGGACCAAAACTGCAATTACTCTTCATTTTATGAATAAAAGATTAAAAAGATAAAATCAATCGAGATGTACCAGATAAATCCATGTATCAAGCGTCATTCATGGGTGAGTTTAAGATTAAAGCTAATCAAGGATTCAGATCTCTTCTTAAGCTTCTCATCTTAACTCTTCTTTTCACACGATACTTCACTTATAAACTTAATTTTATCTTTTTGATTTGTTATTTATAAAATGAATTATACAGATTTGTCTATTTTTAATAAACATGTCAATTTTTAAATGGTTGACACATATTAATCAAATATTAATAATCTATTTCATCTGTCTTTAAACAAATCAGTTTAGTTTATCTAATATTTTGTTTAAAAGTTGTTTATATGTTATTAATGAAACTTAAACATCATCATTAAAACATTGTTGACGGTTTTCTTCTTATTTAATAGTTTTTTTAATATCTTATTAGGAAAATCCGAACGTCTGGATACGTAGACGAATGCTTGCAAGACCAGCAAAGCCCTACTTATTGAGAAAGCCAACAACTTTATCTGGATCTTTATTTCCAGTATTTGACGAAAATCTTTCTATCAGTAGATAGGAATGAGTGTTCGATACAGGGTATAGAATCCATCTGCTCTTTTTGTTTTGTTTGTTCGCCGCGACACGAAAAATCCTTCTGTAATACGAGTGTTCGATACATGGTATAGTGGTGGATGAGTGTTCGGTAGATAAATATTCATAATTGAGATATACAAACATGGGTGAAGACGACGGATCACAATACAGAAGATTGAAAATATCTTATGATTAATAAGTATTTTGTTCACATGTGAAAGCCAATAAATTAAGTCTTCACCAATGTTCATATATTGTATATAATTGTTTACATGTGTTCCATTCTGTTCATAGAGCAATATCTATGTACATCTAACATTTGGTCAATATGTATTCACAAGCAAAACACTTTGATCAAGTATTAATGTGTTCATATGTGAAAGCCAATTACTTTACTATTCATAAGTTTTAATACGTGCAAAAAAATGTTCACAAGTGTTTCCGTATGTTCAGACGTAAAACCCACAAACTAAGATTAGTTAATAAGTTATATACATGTTCATACGTATTCATAAGTGTTCAATACAATGTTCATAATTCAACGCAGATGATTCTACAAACTATAAAAGGATGAGCAATTACCAATTTGTAACCGATGTAAGAAAATACATTGTACATCTCTCCCAAAAATACCCCAATTCACCTATGTTTTAATATCCTTCATTTTTTTATTAATTACAAATATGCCACAATTGATCTCCATCATAGATTTTAAGAATCAATGGTCAAAATTGTTTCATAAAGTTAACACCAATTATTGCGTTAACAAAAAAACCTGCCCCTACATATATATGATACAAATGTGATAATAAATTGTTTATTCTTTCATGTTTCTTTGAATAAGTCGATTTAATTTATTTAATATTTCGTTTTAAAAGTTGTTTATATGTTATTAATGAAACTTAAAATTCTTTAATAACACAATGTTGATGGTTTTCTTCTTATCTATAATTGTTGTTTATATCTTATTAGGAAAATCCGAACGTCTGGATTTGAAACACACACGTAACGTTTTTTTATTTATGAAATCGTCTTTGTCTTCTTTAATAAAATTCGTGTATCACCAGATTTCTATCTACTCCATGAAAATAACCAACGAAATCAAGGGTAACATTATATACGTCCAAAAGGTGAAATAGACACAAATTTATTTTAATATTGATTAAGTATAAAATCCTTTTCCAATTATGAAAATCAAAATATGATTACATGTCATAATAATAATAATAATAATAATAATATTATTATTATTATTATAATATAGAAGTATGTTATATATTAAAAGCTAAAAAAATACAGAGGGTGAAAATTTATGGGAAAAAAACAAACTTTATAGAGACTGAACATCGAACTTGTGTGGCATGAAATCTTGGCTTGATCGATAGTACTTTGCAGGAGAATATAACCCACCTGTTACCAACTTGGCTCGTGTACAAACATGAAAATCACTCCATTCCACGTATATCACACAAAAACATAAGGTAAATAAAACAAACCAAATATGTCCATTTAATCCCATTAAGAAATGGGGTCGAAAGTGGGATGTACGAAGTGTTCAAGAGGGCTCAGTCATGCCGTTGTGACGCAACACAACTTTACACTTCCGGTACGCCATGCTCCAACGGTCGTTTCATGAAAGGTGTTATTTTGATCTTCTTTTTACTTCATCTTTTTTACCCTTTGTGTTTTTTTAGCTTTTTCTATATTGTCATATATTATAAAGTATTTGACAAAAACTCTTAAAAACAATTTTTTATGCACGAAGTACTGTTTATTGATGCATATTACTTAAAATTTAAGATTACAAGTAAATTGTGTATAAGTACAACTTATTAAAGCTCCATACTTGAATTCGTCTGACTAACTGCAGATAAACATCTCATTTCAAATATAAAAAATCTAAATATAATAGGATAATCATTGATAACTAACAAAATATTTAGTTATTATCTTTATAAAAAATTATATTATTAAACCTAAATTAAATTTCTTTGTTACTAAACCTAAATTAAATTATAATTAAAAATATTTAACTAAGAAAATTACACCAAAACATAAGAACTTTTAAAAAGATTAATTTAATACTGATATCGATATTTTTTTCAAAATTTTATGAAATTTTCAAATTTATATTTTATTAAAAAATAAAAACATTATCATTTTCTCAAAACCACATAAAACTAATGTTTACTTAAAATTCAAGATTACAAGGAAATTATGCAAAAGTACAACTTATTAAAACTCGATGTTTGAATTCGTATAATTAATTGCGGATAAACATAATCAAATAGAGAATAAACATCTTATTTTAAAATATAAAAAATCTAAAATATAATTAAGATAATTATCGAGTTCTAACAAAATAATTAATTATTATCTTTATAAGAAAATTATATTATTAAACCAAATATAAATTACTTCGTTATTGTACCTAAATTAAATTATAATAAAAAAATTAAATTAAAAAATTACATAAAAAATAAGAAATTTTAAATAGTTAATTTTATACGAATATCGATATATTTTTGTTATGCATAAAGTACTGCATATTGATGCATATTACTTAAAATCAAGATTACAAGTAAATTATGCATAAGTACAACTTATTAAAGTTCGATGTTTGAATTCGTATAACTAACTACGGATAAACATAATCAAACAGAGGATAAACATCTTACTTTAAAATATAAAAAATATAAAAAATCTAAAATATAATTAGAATAATTATTGAGTTCTAACAAATTAAATAATTATTATCTTTATAAGAAAATTATATTATTAAACCAAAT